TTCGCAGGTAGGTCTTTCGGCCGCAGGGCTTGTCGCTTATCTTAGGCCTCAAAGTGAGAGTTCAGGATTTGCGTTTGCCTTTCTTTTAGAAGGTTAGGGCTTACCATGCCACTCAGGTCTTGAAGGGTCAAGGTGTGTCGCTCCCTCTGGGCATTCAGCAGTTTTAGGGTTTGTCACTTTTTGTTGGTTTCGGCTTGCGACGTGAACCCACATTGGGAGTTGCTTCGGTTACTGCTCGGAGGGTTCAGGATTAGCTCATCCGAATCCTTTGTTTGTTTAGGGGTTGCCTTTTTTTGGTTTGAGCGCTAGTCACTCGTGTCGGGGGTCAGGGTTCGGCACTGATTTTGTAAGCTGAAGGGTTTGCCATAACTTTTCGGGTGTAGCTTTTGCATGCTTTGGCTTCATGGTTCAGGTTTGCCAATGTTTCGAGGGTTTGGGTTTGCTGCTCTTTTTCGGGTTTAGGATTTGCTATCTGGTCTTGTCGATTTTAGGGTTTGTCTCATGGCTTGTGGTCTGTTTCGTTGTGTTTGTTTTGTTTGACACTTGTTGTGTTGTTGGCCTTAGGTGTTTCCTTTCAGGTTTTGGGTCAAGGGTTTGCTATTCTGTTGGCGGTTTAGGGCGTGCGCCACTCGATGCCGGGTTCAGTGTTTAGCACTCACGATGACGTCTTCCACGTTCTCTGTGATTTCTTGTACGGTTGCTGTTGCCAATCTGTTCGTTGCCACTTTCTACGAGGTTCGGAGTTCGCCACAATGGTTTTGTAGGCTTGGTTTGTCATTGTTTCTGGTGTTCAAGTTTATGTTTAGGGTTTTGGCTGTGCCCCGGTTGCTTGTTTCGGGCTTGTGGCCTTTCTACTTGTGGTTCACGGCAGTATCTGCAAGGTTGTAAGCTCAGGCGCAGGGCTTTTTGAAGGCTTTGTTTTGATCTCGGGCTTGTCAGTTCCTTTGAGGTTGTGTAGGTTTTGAGGCTTAAGTCTCTCTTCTAGGCCTTGTGCGGCTTGCCTTACGGCTTCAGATTTGCCACATTCTTTTAGGTTCGCAGGTAGGTCTTTCGGCCGCAGGGCTTGTCGCTTGTCCTAAGCTTTAAAGTGAGAGTTCGGGATTTGCGTTTGCCGTTCTTTTAGCAGGTGAGGGCTTACAGTTCATTTTGACGGGTGAAGGTTTGCCACTTCTTGTAGGCGTAAGGTTTTCGACACTTTTTTTCCGGTTCAAGTGTCCTTGCGGCGGTTTCCTCGTTTGCCACTCTTTGTTGGTTGTGGTCGAAATTTTAATTGTTCGGAGGGTTCGGGATTCGCTGTGTCCTTGTTTGTTTGAGGGTTGCCAGTCTTTTGTAGTGGCGCTTGCCACTCATGTCGGGGTTCAGGGTTCGCCACTGACGTCTTCTAAGCTGAGTTTGTCATGACTTTTCGGGTTTAGCTTTTGCCATTGTTTGCATGGGTCAGGTTTGCCAATGTTTCGACGTTTTGGTTTGCTCCTCCTTATCGAGTTTGCCATCATATCTTGTCGATTTTGGGGTCTGTTTTTTGTGTTTGTGTCGCCTGCCACTTACTTCGTTTTGGCGTTTGGGGTTTCCTTTTCGGATTTTGGTTTGGGGGTTTGCCAAATTGTGGAGGGTTTAGGGCGCGCGCCAGTTTTTTGAGTGTTTCGGTTTGCGTTAATTTGTTCACTGTCCTGGTGACGCCTTGTTTAGCGATCAGGACGAGGGTTTTCGATTCGAACCGTTTTTTGCTGTAGGTTGCTCTCTGAACTCTATTCGGCTCGCGGCTCCTTGAAGTTTTTGAGGATCTTCTGGGCTTGTAAATCTTCGTGTTCGCTGCTCTTTTGATGCTGTGCGACTCCTTGAAGGTTTTGCGCTTGCCACGGTTTTGAAGGTCTCGGGCTTGTCAGTGCTTTCGACGTTGAGGCGAGTCGTTTTGAGGATTGATCTCATGGCTTGTGGCTTGACATATTTGTCTATGTCTGGTGCCACGTACTTCTTTTTGTCCTTCGGGGTTTCCTTTCAGGGTTTGGCTTCGAAGGGGTTGCTATTCCATTGACAGTGCAGGGCATGCGATTCTGGCTTCCGTGTTTGGCACTTGCGATTATGGCTTCTGGTTTCTCGGGTTGTCATTTTCTTGTAGGGTTTCGGGTTTGCCATTCTGTACATCGTGCAGGGCTAAACACTTCTTTCGAAGTGCGGAGTTGGTCGCAATGGTCTTGTAAGCTTGGTTTGCCAGTGCTTTCTAGGGTTTAAGTTTAGTCTGCGCAAGTTTTTGGGTTTAGAGTTTGTTCCGGTTGCTTATGTCGGGTTTGCCAATGGGATTAGAGTGAGGGTTTGCAACATTTTTCGTGGTTTAGGAAAAAGTTTTAGATCTTCCAGGCATCAGGGTTTGCCAATGCTTTGGGGTTTGTTGTGCGCTGCTATTCTAGCGCCTTTAGGCGCGGGGTTCATTGAGGGTTTTGCAGTTGCCACTGATTTGACGGTCTTGGGCTTGAGTTCTGTTGAAGTTTTAGGTTTGTCGACTTGGGTCGGTCTTCGAGGCTCGGGGATTTGTCATCGCTTTTTGGGCTCTTTCATGGTCTCGGTTGAGGCTCATGGGCTGTCAGGTTTCAGATGTTTAGGCCTCATGGTTCAGGGTTTCGGTTGCGGTTTTTAGGATCGTGGATTGCGGGAGTTGCCTTGGCGGATTACACAGCACTGTCGCCCCTTGTTTCGAAGTGGCAGTGTAGCATCGGGGATGGTGGCTGTGCTCTTGCGTGTTTCACATATACTGTAATAAGGCGCGCTACACTCTCGACGACACGGTTGGCTCTGTCCAATTTAGCCACGAATTTAGTCTTCTGAATACTAAGCTTGACTCCCGGATGCCAGTCCGCTTCGGGGATGGTGCGGTAGGTGCAACCCGTGTATTTTGATTTCTTTCAGGGCCGAAAAGATGCGAGGGTTGCCGCTGTGCCAAAGTTGCTTTCACTCTCGCTCTCGTCTAGGGCGGCCGATGCCCAACACCTGGTCACATAATTTGCTAGAACTGCGTGTTTCTCATTCGGTGTCGTGTGACGGTCCCTCCATGTCCTGCTAATGCCATGGACGTTCATGTGCAGCCTTGTTTGCATGTCCTACGATCCAAGCTTAGGTGGTATACTCCTCGGCCTCTTGTTGTTCAAGGCGCCCGGCGAAACTTCTCAGCACTTCAAAGATGTGATGTGCCTGGTGATACAATGCCAGGTCCCGGTGCCGGTGCAGCTGTCACCGCTGCTGGTGTCTTCAGCAACATCATGGAGGTAGCCCTATATTCAATATTCCGAGTCAGTGCGAATCGCCTTGTGCCCCGGCCACACCTCAAGTACACCAGCAGGGTGTCCGAAGTGACAAGCTCTCTTGTTGACAAGCATACAGCAGTTTGCGCTGTGTACTGGGCGGTGCGCTAACAGCATGAGTTAAGCCGTGGAACTTTCTGATGGTATTGTAAGCAAAGCCGGGACCTGTGGGCTTGCACAGGAATGCGCCGGACTGATGCAGTCTGTGACTGCGCATGTCAGGTGATGAATGGCATGCGCTGAGACGCCGCCGGGAATGTGGAATGGGAACTTTGAATCTTGGCCCGCACACCTCCAGCAGCACGCCACGGCACAGGTTATATGGTGCGACCATGGAGCTAGTTTGAAGCAGTGCAAACAGACGTGGCCGGCTGGAGGCTGTGCGATGAACTTTATCCCGTAGAAGCGCTGTGTGCCGACTTGCTCCACGCTATTATGTTGTTGGTAGGATGACCTTCCTGTGCTGAGCACAGGACTCGTAGGAGGCTGCAAACCCTCCTGCAAGCCGCGAGCAAAATCATGAGAAAGATCGAAGGTTGCCCTTCTCAAAAGCAGTATATCTACTCATCAGCTCAGGCATGTTTTGATCCCGCCAGCTGACAGGAGTCCCCTGGCTCCCTTGGTGCGATCCGAATGCTTGGCATATTTCGGATTGGTGCATGTAGCAAGGGTTGTGCTTCACAGACCTGATTGCATCAATGCTCTTGACAGCTTGCCTTATCCCATATCTTCTACAGCCCCAGTGTCGATGCTGTTCTTTGCAATGAGTGGCTTCCCCGTCGCTGCAGGCTTATAGTTGCAGTTATACAGCATCTGCTTCAAGATGAAACAAGCTGTTGAGGCGCATGCGTAGTCTGCATTTCGTCATGCATGCAGCTCTTACACTTCGCCAGCATTATCGCCAGCACAAGGAACAGAAGTTATGCAGGGTTTATAAGATCGATCAGCCCACATCTAAAAAGATCTGCTTATTCTGATTACCATGCCGTGTGCCTATGGAACAGAGGCAGCCATAACATGTCGCATGCGTGATTTGGGTTTCACGAGCGTTCTCCAAAGGCATGCATCTCTTCTTGACAGGTCTGACAGGTGTCGTTATAGCCGATGCGCCAGAAGGTGGGCCGTCCATTGGTAGGAAAAGTTGCTGGATAAGGTTTTGTGTGTCTTGTTTTGCAGGCTAGGACCCGTCCGACTGGCCCGGACGTGAGAGCACAGGGTTTGGACACTGCCGTGGGCTTACCTATTCTCTGACTCAGAAGCTATTCCATCTCGCTTCCATGAACACAATGACTCCGAAAGTGAGCTTCTGCAGATACACGACATACACAACATGCCCCAGACGTCCAAAACCGAAAATCGTTGGTATTGCTACCTGCAGAGACCTCCAGCAGACGACAGGGAGAGACACGACCCGCTCTGCGAGCTGCCGCAAATGTGCAGAATGCTTGCATGGACATTCAAAAGGAGGCATTGAGGGGTCGGTGTTGTCGCGAGAATGGGACACAGCAAGAGCGTGGAGACATGCGAATGCGCTGTGCAGGGTGTGAGAGGCGACAGCGAGAAGAGCCTACTTTGCAATGTTGCCATGGCCTGTCTTGAGGCGACATTGGGACGAAGCATATGTCAGCACATATCCGTGAAAGGTGTCTATCTCAGATGATTCAATCAGGGTCGGCCAATGTGTAGAACGGCGCCGCAACCGAGGCTTCTGCATAATAGATCCAGAGGTGGGCAGCCTAGACCATGGGGGTTGCAGGCTGTGTCAAAGAAAATCCGTCACCACCCTTAGGTCGAAGAGGAATATCTGGATACTGTACTGGCCGCCTGCTCCCCAGGGGGATTCAGCAAGGCATCGGTGACAGATGCGGTTGCCTTCGGAGGACATCTCTGCCGTTGACGAGCAGGGCAGATTCGTTTTCTCCCCAGAGACACTCAGAAAAAGCTTCGCACGCTGCAGCCCTGCCTTCGTGAGGTCTCGCTTCCATCTGGCATTGTAGAGGAGAGGGCTTGAGCGGATTCCCCCCAACACTTCCCTGAGTTTGACACCACATGTAGCTGCAGGGCCTTCTGGGCAAAGAGGGCTCCTGCCGCGTGGCCGATGTCGGTTGAGCCGCCATGCTTGGTCTCTCTGCGATCGTGGTCCCATTCATGTCACATCGGCTGCAACGCGCAAACAAGACTCTTCCGTACGGCAGGTGTCACAACCGAGCATGCGATGGTGTCAGTGTTCACTGAAAGCTTTGTGCCGCGGGCCTCAGTGGCTTCATTCAGGACAAAGGAAGCCATGGAACACTCTACTGGCTTTGTGCTGACTTCGCGTGCCGTGTTCCAGGCGCGACGGTGCTGCCCTTCGCTACTTCGATGACGAGTTTTCGTGATGCCATGCGTGGTTTCCGTGCTGGCCTAGACATGGCTGGCGCATGTCACATTGCTGGGGCAGTTGTGCATATTGAGTGGCTGCCGGCTGTGCTCAAGGGAAGGAACATCGAGTAGACGAGCGTAGCAGAACCCCCTGGCAGACACTCAGGGGTGTTCACGGCACCAGCCTGACCAACAGTCTGACCAACCCGAGTATCACCACACTCAAGCACAAGCATCGAGCCAACTCCACATAGCCAGAACAAGTGTTTGTTGTTGGCAAAGCAGCACTGGCTCCACAGCCATTCTGTCTGGACCTGAGTATGACACATCATGACACGGTGGAGGTATCTTGCTTGTGGTGTCATGCGCGTTTTTGGACTGCTTTGGTGAGGTTGTCATGGACACAGACCGGAAGCTGTACCTGGCCAACCTGCCACAGGATATCGCCGAGGTGCAACTTTGAGACCGTGCAGGAGATCGTTCCAACTACTTGTTTCACTGTCTTGCAGGAAGAGCTCCGGGAGGTCTTCGGTGTATACGGCCGAATAGAAGAGGCCGGACGCACCGATGATGGCAGCGGCAAGCAGCTTTGCACTTGGCCATGCCAGGTGATCGTCCTCGGGTCGAAAGCTGCAGACAGGCCACCAGCACCAGCTACTGTACGTGATTTCAGCCGCGAATCTGCGACTCTTCCTCTGGTGCTAGTCCTGCTGGCACCTGCAGGACCGACCGCACGGGGTTCGTCAAGTTTGTAGACAAGGACTTGTGGCCGTCCTTCTGACATGGAACATTCTACAAGCACTATCATGGGTCCTTAGTCCGGGCAACGTGCTCCCGCCACAGTCCAGCAGAATTCAGGTCTGCGACCTCGGATTCTCAAAATGCTCTTGGGATGCTCTTGATGGGGTCCGAGGGCCGAGGGTGCTGTTGGCGTGACGCGCCGTTGCATTGCATGGGATGGCCTTTCCGGGTCATAAGCAGGCGAGCGTAACTCACTTCCGTTCGAAGGGAAGCTCGCACAAGTCTTGGGGAACGAGCTTGCGCTTGCCAGGAGGATGCAGCCGCAGCGCTGGCTGTCCTCAACGAGCCGCACCTACTGTACTGTTAGTACCGGCTTTTGCAGGATGTCCGGGGGTCGGCCTGTCTAGCGGCACGTCTCAAGGACATGTACCAGTTTCGCGAAGACTCGGAGACGGTTCGCGTTAGCTGGGCCAGGCTGCGGGGCCCCAGCCCAGGGCAAGCATGGTACTGAGATAGACGTCGTCGCCGTGAGAGATGTGCTAATGTTACTAGTCATCAGTTACACTTGGGCGATGTCTTAGGGGATTCGGAATGGGAACTTCCGTCAGGCCTCATCGCGACGACAAGGGGCACAAGGGCCATGGTCATGGCTATGGATACGCAGGCCGGTCCTTTGAGGGGAAGTATCGGAGCAGTTTCGGAAAACATTGTGCCATTCGGAGCTGATGCAAAGCAAGGAGGCCAATCAGGTGGCAAGGGTCCACCGATGCCGCCACTTCCTGCACCGAGCTTGGTGTTTTTCTGAGACAGGTTTCTTCTGCTTGTCAACTGTGCGTTTCGCAGCACGAAGGCACCGCCAAGTGGAGGACCTCCGCCCCCGCCGCCGGCAGCTCCGCCGCCCCCGCCCATGCCAGCTCCGAAAGGTGGGGAATTGGGGCCGGGCTTCTCCCAAGCCTCGGAGCTTCCGAGGGCACGGCAGTCTCGCTCAGGCGGAGGGGGCTTCAGAGGGCCTGGCCAGGGCGAGAAGCTTTGGGTGCATGGCTTAGCATAGCCACTAATCGAAGAAGCCGAGGATGCTGAAGATTTCTCCTGGCGTGTGCAGACACACTCAGGTTGGTAACTTGCCCGGTGACATCACCGAGACCGAGATGCACAAGGCGAGGCTGAAGTCGAATAGCCCCTTGATTGATCCAAGTGTCCCAAAGAACGTGGCTTCTAGCAGTACAAAGTTCGAGACTGACGAGAAGGGAATCGAAGGTTTCGCTGGAGTCACCGCTAATCTGCCTAGTGCCTTCTAAAGTCTATTCGGACACTTCGTACAAGGCAGCACTGGCAAATGCTAGAAAGCTCCAAAGCACTGGATGCAGCTACCGGCCTGGACGCTTGAACGTACGATTCTCGAGTTTCGAACGCTGGCAGGCATTTGGGCAGTTTGGCAGTGTTGACGAGGTCAACATTTTGCCAGCTAGATCCAGGACGGGTGCGTAAGATGTGGCCAGGTGGGCCAAACTTGGCAGTCAGAGCAGAGCTGAAGAGCAGAGATGGCATTCTCGCCGTGCGGCAGGAGCGGTCAGCTCTGTGCCTTTGTTCGCTATGCCACGCCTGCAGAGGCGAGAGGTCATCGCAAATAGGTCTCCTACAGTAGGCATTGCAGCATGCTGCAGCGTTGACGAAGCCAGGGTGCTCTGTGAAGCTTGATGTTTCAGGAGATAGGATGATTAGGGGCGCTTGCACTTCTAGATGTGACGGCAGCTTTGACTCAGAAGTGTCATGTCAGATGTCCACAGGAGACATGCTGGGTTGGATCATGTGCAGTTGCTGTAGTAGCTCTTGCGATGTCAGTGCCATCAGTGCTGTGCTCTGCTGACCTTCCGCGCTCTTACACGTCGTGACACCATCTTTGAGGGTTTCCGCCGGCCAAGCCCTGAGGCTTTATGTGTGTTGGGAAGGCAGCTCAGCCTTGGTGAGAGTCGGTGGCTCCTTACAAAAGTCAGCTGCAGGAAATTGCAGGAATGCTGGTAGGCATAGGCAGGCTTAGGCAGAGATTGCACGTTTCCTGGCCGGCAGAGTTGTCGCCACACTTCGCATGAGTCATGGTCGGCGATGCGAGATGCAGGACTGTATGGAGACTCCACTAATCTCCGCTAAATTGTCAGATGGACGTGAACCATTGTAAGCGCTTCCCGGATGGCCAAGGTTGGCGCTTGCATTTCTGTAAGGCCACTTACGCGCAAGTGTTGCTATCTGAGTGATGAGAAACTACCATGTCAACATTCCCAGGACAGCACGCATGTTTGAGATTCGCACATGCATGCCCTTGCAACACGCACTCTCCAGCTTGAGTGTAGCATACCGTGCCGGTGAAGTGGCAGCTGTCAGCACCATTGCCAGTACTGAAATTGCAGCCTGCAAGGTGATGTCTGCAGCTAGAGTGTGACAGATTCCGAACCTGCGGTGGATCAGTTTAGTTGAATTCCAGCCGGCACTCCGCTCCCCAAAAGTCAAGCATCATGTCCTCCCCAAAGCGCCGGCAGCAACTGGGCCAGGCTGAAGCGTGCATCGCTGGCATGGTCGCCTTTAAGTTCCGACCAGGCCGTGCCGGCTTTTCTTGTCCTGTCGCGCGACTGACTGCTTGACTGCTGACAGGGGATGCAGAAGAGATCAAGATAGAACGGCCGGCTGATCGGTCAAGGAAGGGAGGGAAAGGCGCCCTGCCATGCACTGCCATAGAGCCGGGTTAGAGTTTTTAAGAGCGTGGATTTGAAATGTCAGTGTGCTGTTGCGGCTGTTGTGCGTTTCGGCAGCTGGGCAGGTGACGGCTGGGGCAAGGGTGGCTGGGGCCACGGTGCTGCCTGTGGTGGTTGCGGCGGCTGCAGCGGCTGCGGTGGGTGTGCAGGGTGCGGAGGATGCGGTGGATTCCCCGGTTGCGGCGGCTGCGGCGGCTGCCAAGGCTACCATGCTGCTTGTGGTGGCTGCGCTTGTGGCGGCTGCGCTTGTGGCGGCTGTGGAGCAGATGGCCAGTGGGTCCAGGGCTGCGGAGGCCTCGCAGTGGAACCGCTCGTGGTTAGTCGGGGACAGATCTGCAAGCAACTGGCGAGGTTGCGGCCAGCGGTACCAGCCATACTGAGGAGAGACTGAGCCACCCGCACGGAGCATGGTGCACGTGAAATAGCCTCAAGCGCTTATCATCTTTAGCATCGTGTTACTTCGGCTTACTTGGACATCGTCGTTCTTACCAGCCCAGAATGACTTCTGTCCCAGATGCTGCTCACATCCAAGTCGTCCTTTGGCTACTGCGCCTCTGTGCTGAGCAGGTTTCATTTGACTCCTCAGTGCAGCGACGAGAAACCAAACAGCTTGCGTTCTTGCTGACAGCCTTTCGGAGAGTGTGTTGAATGCAGCATGGTAAGAGTACTGATTCTGCAGAGCCGTGCGGGCATTCAACGACCATGAGTCATCGACATGTTGCCAGGCGATATGCGAACCTCCTTTTTGCACATCTGGCTCTTGCGAAAATACCAGCCCGCAGCCCGGTCGTCCTCGGAAAGCTGCAGTTAAAGAAGTGCCTAGGCCTAGGCTAGAGGGGAGATCGTCCTCTGCACGCTGAGCAGATGGCTGAGGTGACATCCAGGTCCAGTTCGTTGCTTCATGAGGCTATGCAAGCGAGAGCAGCCATCTCATGCCGGCAGCCTGTGACCCGAGAGCGACATACTGCGAGTTGTGTGAAGTGTCAAGACACGCGTAAAACTATACAGTTTTTTCCGGAAGATAGGAGGGCAATCTTCACTGGCGGAAAGCAAGCTTGACAAGTACAAACCAGCATTTCCAACGACGATCGAGGGCTCGCAACCTACCTGTGAACCCTTGCACTGCCGGACAGAAGCAATCAGTTGCACCGTTCTGCTGCACCCACGTATGCTCCGGCTTCAAACATGCCAGAGATCTTCCCCAAAATGCAGCAGCAATGATCAGGGGGATGATGTGATGCTGATGATGAAGCAAACGGTGATGATAGTTTGACATATAGCGATCATATTGAGTCGGCAGCGGGGAGGAAACAGCAAGAACCACCATGATCAACTGGAGGAAAGACCATGATCGATTGGCTGGAGGTTCTCAGTAAATTCTTGATTGCTACACTTAGCATGATTGTTACTACTTCGTGTTTACTGCGGCTGCTACTGCCTCTGCTACTACTATGACTACGACCGCCACAACGATTCTGCTGCTGCTGCTGCTGCTG